TAGTGAAATCTCAACTGTGTCGCTAAACCTTAAATTAGTTTCAAATTTATCATTGTCACATTATGTGTCTTCCACGTAATTGCTAAGTGGCATGCTAAAAACAAAAATGATAAAATGAGGATTTCGATAATTTATATAGATTAAAAGGTTAAAAAACCTGTTTGTTTTAACATTTTTATGACGTTGGCTGTGGCAAATTGGTATACTATGTAGCAATTATATGGAACATTTGTTGTAGTGTGATGCCAATTAGTTTGTTTTATCAGATTGGGAGATGGCATGTGATGAAGCAGTGAAATTCAAAATTAAATTGAAGTTTAATAATCGAATTAAAACTAAGTTGATGTTTAGCGACTTTGAGACAAATTAAAGTTAGCGATCAATTGAGATTTCACTGAATTTTCAATTGCATTAATTTGAAAATTCACTCTTTTAACACGTTGTCATGAGTCCGAATGCACCATCCTCATATCCTATATAATTTATCTTTCAATTAAATTTTGACACATCATTATAATTTTTCAGCATTAGCTATTAAAGAAGAGAAAAATGCTAATCAAATAGGAAAAAAATGGAAGAAAAACAGGGTTATCTGACAGCTCATGATTTAGTGTTTTTGAGTTTTGTTTTTCCAACTTTCAATGAAAATCAATCAAGTGTAGTCTGGAAGAAATAATTCTGTCACTGAGTCTGGCCATATAGCACGATTGGAAGGAAGATGCCACAAATCATGCTATACCTATTAAGGAAAACACAAATCAAGAAATGCCAACCAACAGACAAGTCAATGCATGATTGTTGCTCACAAATCAAGGCTTCAATGGCTGAAATCAGGGATTATATCTGTAGCACTGTAATTAGTCAATTACTGTATTTAGACTAAACTATTAGCTTTATATAAACACAATCACTGCTGGAATGAAATGTGTGCGAAGTTGTAGTGACAATGGTCTATATTACTTTACATGGCATCTTGGGCCAACCTCTAACGAGACTATTTTCTGAGCCTTGTCTTTCGCTTTGGAGTCTCCATCCATTATTTCCACTAACATCTCTTTCTACATGGAAAAGCAACTCATCGCCATTAATTTTTACCATAATTCCAGAAGGATTTTGCTTGCTGTACAGGCCCCTCACATGCTGGTTGGAGGAGTGGGGGTTTTTTTTAAAAAAAAAAAAAATTATCCCCCCCCCCTCCATGTATTGTGTGTAGTCTATACAGGCCCTGTGAAAACAGAGCCTATACAGGCAGCAGGTTCCATTCCAGAATTAACTGAGATTCACTACATAAGTACTTGTCTTTATCACCTCCTACCCCACTATGCATCCACTTCTCAATACCAAATCAGAAATTAAGAAGAATTACAAAAGAACTACCAGGTAATAAAAGAATTTCAATACGGTTATCAGTGGCGAATCTAGGATCGAAGGTCAACTAGAACGAAAGTTAACCGTCGACAATCAATTATCGTAATAATGGGGTCATTTGTCAATATATAATCAAATAATATAAACAAATTAATATATATGTAAATGCACAAAAACTACCAAAAACACAATCAAAAGTAGAAATTCATGGCATCAAATTAATTCAGAGTTTTCTCACCACTCACCAGTAAAAGAAAGGCTAACCAGTATTAGTCTTGTACCAATCTTCATAATAAAGATGCAAGTTGTGCCCACATCGGTGCCTTGGATCATTCTAGATAATGAGCATAAGAATCAAATCCAACTTCATAAAATTCTTATAAACGGTCATTATCAAATAAAATATATGGTATCCAATATCAATAGTACATAACGTGCATTTAACAATAGATATTTTGAACTCCAGCCCGGACAAGAGTAACTCACCGCCTCAATCCAATGTTGCAAAAAAACAAAAACTTGGCCTGTTGCCGACTGGTGACATTTAGTCAAACATAAATCAAATAATCGATGTCTTTATCGCAATACCACCAAATGTTTAGTCTTATCATCTCTAGCCCTTTTCATAATTTTTTCAACTTTCTTCTTCAGAAAAAAAATTTCTTTAATTAATTACAAAAAAACAAAAAACAAAAAAAAAATGTACCGCACCTTTGAAGCATTCAAACTGAAACGAATCCACTCAGGAAGTTTTTGCAAACTGTGCAACCTCAGTAAAATGCAAAGACACAAAATGACTAGTTGACTTTGCTGCCTCTCATAATATGATATGACTATATATTTGTCCAATCTATCAATTAATCTAGACTATTCTAGGATAGATGAGGTGGTTATTGTAATAGTTCAGGTTTACCTGTCTCGCACATTGGTTTATTAAGCTTTGCCCCTCCATTTGTGTCTTTAATTTTCTTGACACTCTTTATGTTCCTAACATTAAAGGAAAATTAGGTAGTGGTTGGTTTGCATTTGTATTTTCCATTTTTATTTTCAAAATGATTTTTAACTTTCCCTGAAAACGGCCCGTTTTCCGTGTTTTGAGCGTTTTCGACATTTATAACTGAAAACGCTGAAAACGATAAAAAGTCGTTTTGCGTTTTCAATTATAAATTTTAACTCGTTTTCGAAAATGCGTTTTCGAAAACGTAGGACCAAACGCGTTTTTCGCGTTTTCGAAAACGAAAATCGAAAAATGGGCCGAAAACGACAAACCAACCACGGCCTTAGTTTCTGCTCACTATTTTACCAAGCACGATACTGTCCATCTAGAGTTTTACTCATCTCGTTTTTTGTGAAGGATCAAATCACAGAGGCAACACTTCTCAGATGCGAATGTGAGATAGTGTGTATCCCTCTCCCTGAGTTACTAGCTACGGTGTCCAAACTTGCTGTTGCTTATGTATGTAAACGTACCACTACTGACGGCTAGCATAAACGATTGGGACAACCCTCCTTAAAAATTGTTCAGCACCTTGTTTGTGCTTTTTCCTTACCAATCCCACAAAAATATGGGCTTATTCGAGCCACGTTATTTTCAAAAAAATACATTTTTCAATAGTGATTTGACATTATTTTAATAATATATTCTTCAATAAAATAATATTACAAGTAAATCCAAAAATTTTTCTTATTTTTTGACCACACATTTTTTATTGATTTGACATAAATAATACATTTGTTTTGCCTAGATCGAAACATGGGGAAATAGTATTTGCAACATTTTTCCTTAAGTCAAACGTCTTGTGGAAAATCAGTTCAATACCTACTCCCATTAAAATTATATATTCTAATAATGAAGGCAAATACATTACACTTGTTCCTTAAGACATGAAATTGGACTCTTTGTAGGCGTAGTGTACAGGCAACTAGGCAACTCTTGTCCCCTGACCTGTTGGAACACACCCCGCGATTTATCTCCTTCACAAAGCTCTAGAGGCGGAACGATAGGGGCCCTAAAGGTTAGAGTTCAACCTTCATTACACTTGAATCCTATCTTTTCCTTCACGGTATAAGTTACCATATACTTGAAGATATGACATATACAGTGGCGGATCCAGGTGGTGGCCAGCTAGGGCGGCCGCCCTAGCTGGATCCGGTGGGAGAAATTTTTTTTTTGTTAACCGTATATTAAATTTTTACCTTATATTTCTGGTAATTGATTTTATCTTCAAAAATTCCTTGCAGCTCAGTTGGTGAGAACTCGTGTGAATAAACTTGACGCCTTGGGTTCGAATCGGCCTGTTTGCCCCATTCTTAGCTAATTTTTTCTCACTTTTCAAGCATTTGTGGATCCCAAGGTAATACAACTTTCAATTAATTCTGACAATATACATTCCGCATGGCGTCAAAAAATGGGAGTGATGGTTGCCATATTTTTAAGTCCCTATCAATGCCCTTAAATTTTTGTGTGTTGGGTGGCACGTGTACATTTCCAAGTAAAATCCGAGGGCAAAATAGACAGTCCATTCTCAATGGCATTTCACTTAAAAAATACATTCTGACTCAATTCTGACCCCTTGTCATGAATTGTCATGTCGCTATGTGTAAAAATGATTAAAATGAGTGTCAAACGGAGGCTTGTCAATGGTTTGTTATGTATTATTTTTATCCTATAATTTTTACCAAAATAGGACAATGAAGGTTCAAACTTGTAATCTCAAGTAAGAATTGTTGTTAATTTAACCATTATGGTACCTTTGAATTGTGATATTAAATTTAACAAAATAATATTTGTTAAGTTTTGACTGATTTATTGCAAACAATTTTAAAGATCCAAATTTGCACTCTTCCTTTGAATTATACAAATCTTAGCAACAATGCCATTTAATGAGTTCTGTTTATTCTTATAACAAAATTATATATGTTCAGTTTAAACAAAATAATTATTATATTTATAATTTAGGCTTTGTTCTATTTCCATTTTTTTCAAAATATATTTTTTCTTTTCATCCATACATTATTCAATAAAATAATATTACACGTAAATTCAAAATTTTTCTTTATTTTTAGTCACACGTTTTCCATCAAATCACTATTCTAAAATGCATTTTTTGCAAAAAAATCGAGTATCAAAAGGGTTCTTAATATTTTATTGCGGCCGACAGTAGATGATCAACGACCGCCCGTGCTGACTCGAGTCCCTAGATTCGCACCTGGACATATATACCCGTTTGACCCTCATTAAATTAAAATTTATTTTTCTCTCTTCCTCTTTTAACCACACAATCTTCCATACAATAATATTACCTGTTTATTGAAAACTTTTCCTTTCTTTTTCAATCACCTATCCTGCAAAAAAATATTTTTCCACCCATTAAAATTTGAAATAATAGGATCAAATGGGGGGCCATAAAATTATAGTGAGATATCGAAATTTAATTTTGAGTCGCATGAAGATTATGAAATCAAATCTGAAGAGCAAATTGAGGGTGTTTGAAACAGAAGTGGGTCCAACGTGGGGCAAAGAGCAAATAGAGGCACATGTGGAGGTGGAATATGTGGTTAGAAAAATCATTTCACCATCTCACACATAGAAAAAGGCATCTTTGTCCCTTTTTCGACCAAGTCCAATACTGCACGCTCTTCCTTCCACATTTCTCCAAATATAAAATAGATGTTATGTGGGGAGTAATGAGCCCCATTCATTATCATGTCTCCCACATCACTCTAGTTTAGCTTCTGTTTTCTTATTCCCTAGTCATTGGTTGGTATAATTTTCTCTTTCTTTTTGCTTTTTTAAAAAGATTTATGATTTGGAATTATTCTGGGTTTTGCAGAAGACAGGAGCCATCGTTGATTGATGCAGTATAGATATTACTTTTTATTACAGAGGTACAGTGCACTGGATTCTCTTGATTTGCTGTTTTTAAGCATATGTTGAAAATCAGAGGAATTGTGTCTGTATCTTCGACCTCTTGAGTTTTGTGGTTTAATTAATAATTTGTTTCATTATGGGATCTATAGCAGTATATAAGAACTCAAATCCATACGAAACAAATATCATTTCCTCTTTTATTTTTTATTTTTTTGAAATTTTTTTTCTGTTTTAGGTTCGGAAAGGAGATTAGAAGAATACTCTACTATTGAATCTGAGGTTATGGACTTGGCCGTTGCACATAACTTTAAACAATGCCAATTACCGGTAGCAATAGGAATGATAGGATCACTCTGTAGTCCCTTAATTCTTTCATAATTATTTAGATTCGCTTATACGAATTTTTTACGTGTCATATGGAATGTAAATCTTTAGTCTAAGACTTGGGTTCATCTTAAAATGTCAATATTATTTAAGATGAGTAGATTTATGTCCTTATATGTTAGTCAATATTTTCATCTCGGATTCTATCCTGTAGAATGTCCCGTAGGATGGTGGCTCGTTTGAGTTCACCAATCTTGGAACCCAATGCTCGTTTGAGTTTTTGACGCTGTCTTGGGAAAAACTTGTATACTTTTCCTCTTTGTCCAAATAAAGATAGGCAACATCAGAAGGAATATTGAGGAAGGTCAAATGAACAAGATTTATGTAGTTCAAAAATATGCCTAGAGCCACGTACAAAGTCCGAATGCTATAGAAATAATTATTGGTTCTTTTTTCTTTAAGGCGGGGCGACATTTTTAGTTTGGCGTATACTAATGCTATGTTACAAAATGAAGCTATCATCCTTTGCGCTAATAATTTCCTTTTTATCATTGCAATTCATTTATTAGAGAAATTTGTTTTCAGTTCTAAATGGGAAAGGATTATAGTGGATCCCCAAAGCTTCAACTGCGGGAATTAAAGAGAAAACGTCTCATGTGGGTGTTAGTTGTTAGTGGTCTATGTGTGTTTTTCTATGTTCTTGGGGCTTGGCAGGGTTCTCGTGCTCCAACCAGTCAGTCTGAACTCTACTCCAGAGTTGGATGTGATGTTGGTTCAACTAAGAAGACGAGCAATGAACAGGTTCCATCATCATCCTGGGATCCACAACCGGTGTCAGACCCACTAGACTTTGAAAGCCATCATCAGTTAGAAGTTAACAGTTCTGAGGAATCGCAAAAATTCCCGCCATGTGATATGTCATTCAGTGAATACACTCCATGCCAAGATCGACAAAGGGGTAGGAAATTTGATCGAAAGATGATGAAGTATAGAGAGAGGCATTGCCCTAAAAAGGAAGAGTTAATCCGCTGCCTTATACCTGCCCCACCAAACTACAAGGCCCCTTTCAAATGGCCACAGAGCCGGGATTATGCATGGTATGCTAACATCCCTCACAAGGAGCTTAGTATAGAGAAAGCAAATCAGAATTGGATCCAAGTCGAAGGAGATCGCTTCAGATTTCCTGGGGGAGGCACGATGTTTCCACGTGGTGCTGATGCTTATATTGATGATATTAATGAACTTATCCCCCTTAGTGATGGAACCATTCGAACTGCTGTTGATACAGGTTGTGGAGTAAGTACATCTCTATCTTGAACAATATTTCATTGTTTATAGGTATAAAAAACCACGCAAGTTAATTGTAGTATACTTCTGATTTTGAACTTTTTAGGTTGCAAGTTGGGGTGCTTACTTGCTAAAGAGGGACATAATAGCAATGTCTTTTGCTCCAAGAGATACACATGAAGCACAGGTTTGGTTTGCATTAGAACGAGGCATTCCAGCTATGATTGGCATCATGGGTTCACAGAGACTTCCATATCCTGCGAGGGCTTTTGATATGGCTCACTGTTCACGGTGCCTTATCCCGTGGTTCAGCAATGGTAAGACGTTCACAGATCTTGTTATATTATAAGGGGATGAATCCATAAGAAATATTTTTGTATGATTGCTTGCAGATGGAATGTATCTGACTGAAGTAGATAGGATTTTGAGGCCCGGTGGTTATTGGATACTTTCTGGCCCTCCGATTCGTTGGAAGAAATACTGGAGAGGTTGGGAGAGGACCAAAGAAGACTTGAAGCAGGAGCAAGATTCAATCGAGGATGTTGCTAAACGACTCTGTTGGAAGAAAGTGATTGAAAAAGGAGATCTTTCTGTGTGGCAAAAACCTTTCAATCACGTCCAGTGTATCAAGAACAAAAAGATATATCGTACGCCGCATATCTGCAAATCGGACAATGCTGATGCAGCTTGGTACCTACTGAAAATCTTTATTTGATCATATGATTTGACTTACAAATGTTAATTTTTGATTTATGTATATGACTTCATCTGTATTAACAAGGTACAAGAACATGGAAACTTGCATAACCTCGCTGCCAGAGGTAAGCAGCTCTGATGAGGTCGCGGGAGGCAAACTAGAGAAATGGCCAGAGCGTGCCTTTGCTGTTCCGCCAAGAATTAGCAGTGGATCAATCCCAGGTGTCACTGTTGAGAAATTCCAACAGGATAACGAAATGTGGAAGGGTCGTGTGGCACATTACAAACATGTTGTTAGTCAATTACATCAAGGACAATATCGAAATGTAATGGACATGAATGCTTATTTTGGTGGATTCGCTGCAGCCATGATGAAATACCCAGTATGGGTTATGAATGTGGTCCCCACAAATTCAGATGTTGACACATTAGGATTGATTTATGAGCGCGGTTTCATTGGTACATATCAAGATTGGTGTGAAGCATTCTCAACATATCCACGAACATATGATCTCATTCACGCAGGCGGTGTCTTCAGCATATATCAGGACAGGTAAAATGCTATCTGCCTCATTTTAATAAAGAACTGTTTTTTCAGTTGTTATCGAGTATAACTTGTGTTTGGCTTATCCTGCTAGGTGTGACATTACATACATTCTCCTTGAGATGGATAGGATCCTACGACCCGAAGGGACTGTTATATTCAGAGATGTGGTTGAAGTCTTGGTGAAGATTAAAAGTATAACAGACGGAATGAGATGGGAAAGTCGAATCATGGATCATGAAAGTGGACCATTTAACCCTGAGAAGATTCTCCTAGCCAAGAAAAGTTATTGGACTGGTGAAGCCAAACAAGAACAGCGCTAGTCCTGCAGAATTCAAGTTGAGATAAGGATGCTCACCAAAATTCTCAGCCACAAGGCACGTTTTCTGTATTTGTAGAAGTTATTGATTTTCCCTGTAAGAAAACTCCTTTAGCTTCTAAATTTATTACTTGTCATCTATGTATAATTCAGCTTCAGCCGGTTAGTCAGGATAGAAAAGCTGGTCTTGATTTAAATATTAAGCCCCTATTTGAGCTCCATTTTTTTGGACAAATAGATTTTGTAATGGTGATTTTTTGAACAACGTGTGGCTAAAAAATATGAAAAATGAGTGAATGTGGTTGAAAATAAGTTTGAGGAAAAATGAGTTTTTAAAAAAGTGGGAGTCAAATAGGGGCTAAATTATATCAATTTCTCTTGCTTGGTACACTTACAGTTGAGGTTGATACAGGTTAAGCACAGTGTAATTCAAATGTTCATGTTTTAACTATTTGTAAATCAAGTAGTTCGATGAGATAAGGACCGGGAAATGTTGATGTGGCGTTAAAAAATGGTCAATTTAAGGTCACGATACTGATAGGACACTAAAGTTTGAAAGAAGGGAGATAGAATGGGCAGACTTCACGGATTTGATGATTGAGACACAGCTAACGAGTCCAACCCCGAGTAGCGTAGTGTACACTGGATTGGCATCAGTACAACATGATATATGAGTAGAGAGGAGAGAAAATGAACTATACAATCGTTGAAAAGATAAGATGATTCACCCAAATACATTTTTTATATTGTCCTAGGCCATGCTATGCCCAATAGAAGCATTCTGGACGGACACTAATAATTGAATCTTACATCAATTATGTCTATTACTATTAGTGTGTATATATTTGTAGGACTGGAACTGGTAACATTTGTGACCACTTATCACATATATAAAAGAATTCCCTGGTCTGGTCACCAATCATCATCTCACTTTATAAAAAGAAGGGATTCTAGTGTTCAATAATTTCCTTTAAATGCAGCATTGTGGATTTCACAATCACGCTAAGCATCTAAAGTTTACTCCAGAAGATAAGGATGTCTGTCTGTATGAATGAAGTTCTTGAAAAAGAAAATCATGGAACATTCATGTTAGGCTTAGAACATTGTTGTCGTGTTTGTACGATTTCCTTGCATCCTCGTACTGTGATTTTGCTCAAGTGTGTATTCCTCGCCTTCGCTTTGAATTTATGTGCTGATCGGATTTTAACTATTTCTCCTGTACATAAATTAACTTCCGCTTGTTAAAATGAGAAAATCATACATGAACTCAACTTTGTATCATAACCATAAATAAATTAATTTGATGAATATTTGCATTTCTTCTCCAAAATTCAAATTGTGGTTTTATTTTCATGTCTGTGCTCTGCAAATGCACCCCCTTCGGAGCGAGAAGAACTTTGGTCAAGTTCCGAGATGGCCTCACCTCATTGGGTGAGGGTGGTCCACTCGATGAGGTGGTGGCTCACCATTGGACGATCGCACCACGTAGGACGTTACGACCGTCCCCACCAAAGTTCTTCTCCTTTGGAACACAGAATGGTAAGCGTTTTCTTCCATTTTTCGCAGCACAAGATGACACTTCCTTTTCAATGGGCCTTGAGTAGTATTTTATTTGTCACACTTTATTTATATGAACACGACCAGATAGATGAGTTAATAACATCAACGAATCCAGGTATCCTTTTTATCCATAGCTTGGTCTATACATTTCAACGAAAGAAGACTATTTTATTCTATCACAAGCTAGCACCATTTTTGCTACTTTTTTTTCTTGTTATGATTTCACACGTAGTTCTACAACTTCATTAACATACATTGCATTTGAGAGGATTATACCAGGATACAAATATCTTCAATCTATCTCAATCAGTTTCAGTCTATCTCCTTCCATTTTGGGATTACCTTGTCTACTAGCTTGATGTTCTCGATCTTGTCATATAGACCCTTGACGAATGTGGATTCTCTCGTGATAGATTCTATACATCCACTATGATGCCGCTCTTTTTGGTCTCATGATGCCATTTGTTGAATGATGGAGGAACTTGATCCCGAGGTCTCCTAGACAAGAAATGATGTAGGTTTAGTTTTTTTTTGTTGGTTATTGGATTTAATTATCATGAGAGGAAATTAATTTTCCCTTGAAAATTAAAGCCAAGTGAGTAATGGATTTTAGATCACATTGAGATCATTAGATTTTGTTTTTAAATAATCACACATAAGGGTGAGACAATAACCTTGAATGAGCTTTTAATAGCCTAACCAAATGTTAGGTGTCTCACTTTTGGGAAATATGAGAGAATATGGCTAATCCTTAAACCTTGAGAAATGTGTCTACAAAGGGCATATTTATAATACTCAAGTGGCGTTACATAATTGCACAAATTTCCTCGAACTTTATTGTGATATGTCAATTAAGGCACACACCGTTAGAGGGTGTTTGGTGGGGATTAAAATTAGATTTTTAGTAGCTTTTAATAGAGGTTTTGAAAATGTGTTGTTAAAAAGTTGTGGGACCCATGAAAGAAGTGGTTAATATTGATAGTTTGACTTTAACTCATATTAAAATCTGAGCTAAATAGGGGCTTATTAGAGTTAAGAGAGAGACTTAACGGGACTCACAAGACCCAAACAATGTTTCTAATTAGGTCAACTTTTGACCAATTAAAATGCAACTATTAATCTCAACCGATTCTGCCAAAAAGTCGAAATTGCACTCTTGAGTCGAGTAATAATTATGGAAGCAAATTATAATCCGATAACAATATCTTCCGATCATCATGCCACAAGTCAACCCTTATTTGACCGTCAATATTTAAAAATGACAGTTTTGCCCTTTCAACATGTATTGCCCTCCAAATTTCATTTTCATAAGGTTAATCCTTTGTGAACTAATCACAACATAGAGTCTAACAATCCCATAATCGGATTACTGAGCTTATGTCAAATGCCTATAGAAATGCCTCGAAGCAATGATCCTCATCATGATGATTAAGGAATTCCATTATTACCAGTATATGATCTCTAACTATTTCGCTCCGATTCCCAAAGCATCGAGATCAATCTTCTAATTAAGACCTCGCTCATTAGTACTTCAAAGAACTTGAACTAGCAATCAAAGGTACATTACTCGCTCGGGATTTAGGTGACTTGTTTGATAATTGAATAGGGTCTCATTCCGAACAACCACAAATGAATCATCTACACAGTCCCTTTCAATGTGTATCAAAATACATTATTGTTCTTATTTCCAAATTTAGACAAATCTCAATAAGAACACTGACTCAAACCGTGAGTATACAATTTGTGACATCTTATATGATCATGGAACCTTAGATAATTGTTTCAAATTATAACATGTGAATGATCAAATATTAATTTATAATATCGTTTTACAAAATACTACCCGAGAGGCATCAAACTAACAATTTTTACACAAATTGTAGCTGTAGATTATTTTCGTCTACACGAGTAATTTTTTTTATTTTTTTTTTCCCAATAAGAGTGTATGAAAGAATTTGAGATGATTGATTTAGTACTCATTGTTATTGCATGAATTATCTGATTTTTTTTTTTTTAAAAAAAGGTACAAAGATAACATGCAATGAACATTGTTAAAGCGATAACAATAACGAGCACTCCATATGTTGTTGCCAAATAGAATATGTAACAAATGTTATAACTTTATAGTAGTATTTGCAACAAACATTTTTCTCACAAAAAAATTATTGGACTATTTATTGTGACAAATTAATTGATTTGTTGCTTTTTAATTTTTCGTGATTTATACACGCTGCTATGACATATGACGATAAATATCTTGTTTCTATTTTGCACTTTCTACATCAAATAAATAATATTGTGAGTTTATTAATAGATGAATGATTGAAAGTTGTCGCATAATAAATTATGTGACTCATATAGTGCAACAACATCTGTAGTAAACATATTGCTATTGCAAAATTATCTTTTGCAACAAAATTTCTAATTATGTGATAACATTTTTGTCAAGATTTCGATATTATATTGTCGAGATTTTGTGAAAAAATTTACAAGAATAAAAAATATAAAAGTAAATATGAAATTAGTGAACTTTTTAAGGATATTTATGAATTGTTAAAAAATAAAAAATAAATAGCTACAAATTCAAGACTTGTCAAAATTTCAACTGGATCAATAACCTTTGTTAAACCTTCTGAATGCAATATATACGACAAGGACCAGAGAAGGAAACAACATTCTTTCTCTCTTTTTATATTCTTTCAAAATAATTTTACACCCATAGCATATTAATCAACTTAGTCTACGATTTTAGATGCATGGCCCAAGAGCTGGCCCCTTTGGGTTTCATTAGGAAAATCACATGGAATTGCGAATACATTACTGCCATAAACTCACAAATATCTATATTTAATTTGTTATTTCACCCGATTCAATAGGAGCATATTACTCGTGTCTCTATTTTCTGTAATTCGAGGTATTAATTTGAATTTTTCTTTTCTTTTTTTGTACATTCTATTATTTGATTTTCATTGACTCGAAATTTCCATCCAATACACTCTAGTATTTGAGGAATTGTACAAAGATTCCTTCATCATACAATCTAAAATATTGTGTCAAAGATGTTGCATCTCCTTATATATTTAAATGTATATATGTGACTTTATACAATTTAGAACTTCAAATATAATTCTACTATTTGATTATAATTGACTCGAAATTTCCAACCAATACACTCAAGTATTTGAGGAATTAATATAAAGATGCCTTCATCATACAATCTAAAATATAGTTTTAAGCATGTCGCATCTCTTGATATATTTAAATGTATATTTGTGACGTTATTCAATCTAGATATTCAAATATAACATTAATTTCCACATATTACCTTGCTTAGTTTTCATTTTATGTAATAAATATGATAATATAACATGTACTGTGAAGTACTAGAAATGTGTATACCATGATATATTATCTCTACTTTTGAAATTTCACGTGATGTATCATTACTTATTGAATTGGCACAAATAATTTATAATGTGTGATAAAGTTTTACGGCCATCTCTTTTATGTATATGCGGTTGCCATTTGTTGTATATGATAATATAATGTAAAATGTGATATATAAAAGAAAATAAGAAGTATATGATAGCAAAAAAAAATTATAGTTGCATAAGCTTAGTGAAATTGTATGTTATATATTGATGCATTGTGAAATTTATATGTTATATATGACGCGTATATAATTTATTAAATGTTACATGCGATGTGATGTTATTAAGAATATTTTACAATTTGTTGACTATTTCATGTTACTATTGTGCTATATAAAGCGTTGTATATGTCACAATGTCTTTTGTGAGTGAAATATGATACATTATATACTTGGTATCAAAAGGGGAAATGATTTTTGGTTATTTGTACCAATAATAGAAAGCTTCAATGTTCTAAATAATGGCACAAATTAAAAAGTATTTGTGACTTAAGTGAAAAGTAGCCTGATTAGAACATATTCAGATAGCTCGTTATGTTCTTAAAAAAAAAATTAAATAAAAAATAAAAATAAAATTTGAAGAAAATGATAATTAGCGTATTTTTGGGTGCAACATCAATTTGGGGTGATTATGGCCCATGTACATGTGACACATTTTCTAAGCTGATCAGAGCGAATTTAAGAAATTAAGATTATGGAAAATGCTATTTGTATATCAAGGTTGACACTCCGATGTACACTCTTCCCACATGAAGGGATGGGTCCCACGACAATAGAATTGGAATCTCCCATGTGAGAGGAGTATACACTGAAGTGTCAACTCCGATGTATATGTAGCAAAACTCGAAAAGATTATAGACTCTCACTTGAAAGGACTTTACTACATATACATCAAACTTTACATAATGAGTGACATAATACCACATGTCACTTAATCACTTGCCCATTTAAAACATAATCAGCTTTTTCATTCAATTTTTTCCCTCCACATTATTTTATATACCTCTTTATGAACTATTTTTATGTACAAGTAGCATAATCTCACTTAAAAATGACTTTGCTACTTGTATATCAAGTTTTACATAATGAGTTACATAATACAACATGTCACTTAATCATTTACCAATTTAAAAACAGTCAGTTTTAATGAAAATATTATTGAAATGTATCATGGAAGTACGAGAAAGGAAATGCTAATTTAATCGGGCTCCAATTTTTTTGTGAAATTGATCGGCTAATTTTGGGCTTGATTATGGGCATACAGAATGTTGGGCAATTTTATGTGAAATTGAATGAGTTGACATTAAATTGTGGGATTTTAAGTGATTTATGGTTTTTTTTTATTTTTTACTTAGAGAAGTTAGTAATTGTGGAATAAAAAAAAGTTGGGTAGTGAATTGGGAATTTGGATAATAACACTTTAAGAGTAAGAATAAATAAATAAAACGAATAACAAATATTTCATCATACAAAATAAATAATAAGTAAAAAGATTATTGGTCCCCATTTTTTGGAAATGAAAATGTGTGGCATAGTGTTTTTTTTTTTTAAATGAGTTGTTGAAAAAAAAAAGTTTTGGATTTACGTGTAATAATATTTTATCAAAAATTGTATGGTTGAAAATAAGAGAAATAAAAATAAAATGTAATTTAGCCCCCGTTTGGCCCCCTTTTTTGGAAATGAAAATGGGAGGAAGTGTTCTTTTTTTTTTTTTTTTTAAATGAGTGATTGAAAAAGAAAGAGATTTTTTAATTTACATGTAATATTATTTTATAGAAGATTGTGTGGTTGAAAATATGAAAATGAAAAATATAATGTAATTTAATGAAATTCAAACATAGGCTTAATGGGAAGCAAACATAGGCTATATATGTTACTTTACATGTATACAGTAACACACATGTTATTCATGTAAAATATTGATTTTTAACATATAATGTATGTAAACATGTAAAAAGGAAATTTCAATTTTAAATGTATGTTTCTTTTAGTAAATAAGCTTAAATTATAAGTGACGTTCCATTTTTACAAAACATTCTAGTTAGGTATGTAAAATTTCAATATATATATATATATTATTTATTATTATTATTATTTTTTTTTTTTTTTTTTTATTTTTTTTTTTGGTAACAAGATAGTTGTCAAGTTTTTCATAAATAAGACTAGGCCCCTATTTGACAGATACTAAAATTTAATTTTTAAAGGTTTTGATATAAATTGATGGAACGTATAGTTGAAAAGTTGTGGGTCCTATGGAATAGGTAGTGAAAATTAATTGTTGACTTGTCTTTGATTTTAATTCGAGTTTTTAGTAATACCAAACAGTAGGGATAAACATGGTTTGGTTTGTACGATTTCTATAAATTTTCAAACCAACCCATTTAAAGTGGTCTGAATTTGTCAAGGAAATTTCCATTTGTACATAATAGGGGTATTGAGCGGTATCCCCCTTCTCACAATGTATGGCGGGCCCCATGTGAATTAAAAAATGTCGGCTTGTGGTCTCCATTCCTATTATGAGCAGTGAGTAAAAAATTCGATAAAAAAATTCAGTGTGTATAACATTGTTCTTTTTTCAAACTACTATCATTCTTAAAGCAAATCAATCTAAACCTCTTTTTTCAATTTAGTTCGGTTTAAAATTATGGTTTAATGAAGAAAAAATAAAATATATGGAATACATTAAATTATAATATTAGTCTAAAATTTCGCATTAAAACATAAATAAATATCATTAAAAAAGTTCTAGAATTCTAATAATTATAATGCACCAACATTGTAGAAACGTTTTAATCTATTAGTCGATATTAATTGGCGCAACATCTATAGTTGTAAGACATTATTTGTTCCCTTCATAAAGATGAGAATATTATACATAAAATCATTGATTATAGTTATGTGATATAAAATAATTAATAAAATAAAATGTATAGAAAGATCAAATATGATAATACTTTTTATAACTTTTAGTGAATAATTCAATGCTTCCGCAATATTCAAAAAATGACGAATCACTATATGTTCTTTGTTACTATGTAACCAATTTCTATGACAAGTTACCATCTCAATCGTATTTGCATTTAACGAACTCCTAAAGGAATCAAGAATCCAAACACTAATAGGAAATGCAGGCTCAGAAACAATTGTGGATATTTGAATAGCTACACAACTTTAGTAAGTTGGAGGACAATCTTGTATTTATTTGTATTGAATTTCCACCGAAGCAATATTTTGAAAGGCTTATTGATCAAATCTTCAAAACAACAATTCAAATAATCAACTAAATTATTCTAGCAATTAATGGTAAATTCTAGAAATTAAGTTAAAATGTATATAATTAATTGAGTGACTTGACCAAAAAATTGAGACGTAAATAAACAAAAAATCATTTCCGCTAAAAATTTAAGTGCTTGTTTGTGTCCCATTCTTCCACATTTTATGAAATTATTTTTCTACATTATTCATTTTCAACCACACATTCTTTTTTAAAATAATATTACACGTAAATCAAAAACTTTTTCTTTATTTTTTAACTACACATTTCAACATCAATTACTATTCCATAATATATTATCCACAAATAATGGGGCACAAACAAGAACTAAAGGAATCCGACACTAATTAAAACAAAACAACACAAATACTAATAAAAATAGCAAACAATTACAAATAAAATAAGAAAAGTTGGATAATCTGACCTAAATTCGAGAAAATTAGTAAAAAGAAAAGAAATGTGTGCGTTTGTATTAAAATCTAGATTAATTGTCTACTTAATTGTAATACATGGTCGATGAATATGGTATAGTAACAATCGTTCAATACTTCACTCAATTTGAGTGTTTTGTATTTACAGGTGTGATAACTAATGAGCATTTGGATAATATTTAATTAATTAGTTGGGATGGATAATTATCTATTTATGTATTCAGTTTAATTTTGATATATTTAATGTGAATGTATCTTTTTAATTATGATATTTTTTTTATTTTAATTGAGTTGATAAAATTTAGAATAAAATTTAAATTAATTTATTTTCAATTTATTTAAATGATTTTTCGTTCTAAAATTGTTTGTAAATATTGAAACTTAAATTAAACTACAATTTAATTAGATTCAAAATCAAAACGTTAGAAATAAAAAGCGATTTCAATTCTATTATGCGATTTGACGATTCAGGAACTTGTACGTAGTGTTCAAACAATTATTTTTTATTTTGGATAGTCGGAAATGTCAGTTACCTACTTTAATACAGGGAGTCAAATTTGCTCATTCTACAAGTAATTGTTCAAAATTAAACCCTCTCTCTCGAATTCCCACTTAATCAATTGACTAACGAGCCCGTAAATTTCAGCACTAACTATGCGTTAATTTGATTCTTTGCTTCATTCATTTTTATGCAAAAGTTGGAAAAATCCTTAAATGTACTGCGTTGTTGTTGTATGATTGATAGATAGATTTGCATATGATAATCGTAATAGGAAATTGACAGTAGTAATTGAAATTGAAATTGAAAAGAAGGGGGTGGGGGTGGGGGGTTAACAATGGTGGTGCTTTTGTTGTCAGCATTTCTTCTTGGGGCTCTCACTGTTATTGTAATGGAAGCAGTAGGACTGTGGATTTTGATTCGCTTAATAAATCAGAGAGTTGCGAAAGAACAAGGGAAAGAGAAAGATTCAGCTTCGGCAGGCGACCTCAATCCGACTTTATACAACATTCAGGTAATTTAGCTATGTTACGCGCGTACAATATCTACAATTTTGGGGGGTATGAATTGTTTACGAATATATGTTTGTCAATGATTATTTATATGAGTAAGGTTTTCGATGAGTTGATCTTCATACACCTCTTGCTTTTACCGTTATGTGGGAATTTCCTTCACGTATTTGTTGATAATAAAACAGAAGATATGAAACCACCACCTGTTTACATTGAGCTCGATTAAAAGCAAGTATTTGATTGCTTATGGAGGTGAAAAATAGATAATAAGCTTAACTAGAATAGACATTTCTGAATACTATTTTGAGAAGAGTCAAATCCTATGACCTGTGTTCATCCTTTTTTTTTTGACATTGATGTAACTTGTCTTTTGCCTTAAACAAGGCTGGAACATGAATAAATGGATGAAACGAAGCTTGTCCAATACCTCTTACATTAGCACAACTGCTAATTTAAACATCCATCTTGAAACCAAGTGACCATGACTAAGTGCGTAAATGGTCCAGATCAAAAGAAAAAGACCTCTGTTTATGTTTGTGATGAAAACCAGTAAACTTCAGATTGAAATTTCATTGTAGTTCTTAATGGAAGAGAATAAATCTTGCTGTAAAAAGATAACAAGTGGAGAACAACAAATTAAAGATCGGTTTGTCGTGCAGAAAAAATTGAGAGAAACTCAACCGAATTTTATTAATATTAAACTCAAGACAAAGTAGTAGAACCAGAGTTTATGTTCCTAGACCTAAATGATGTAAATTCTAATCAAAGTGAAATATTGAATCTTTGTAGAAGAACAACAAAGACAAATATTGCAAATCATAAAACACCAAAGGAAGAAAATTTATACCCAATTTGTTCCACTTTAGTATCAGCATTTCAATTTTGAGATAGTGTTGCTCAACAGGAAACAATTCTGTCTTTCTTTCTTAAACCACCATCATATTTGAACTACCATCTTTAGCATGGGGAGCCCATTATTTCAACAAACAATATGATATCTGCTGAGTTCACCTTTTCAAAGAATGAGCCTCACTTTAGTTAAAAATGGTACAAAATAATTATTTGGATAATGCTATTTTCTTATAGTTCTCTCGTTTCTAGACATATCCTTCAATTTTTAAATCAAACCGAACCTAAGTGAGATACTTAGTGTGGAATGGATGGAGTGAACAACTTCCAAACCAATTACGAAAACACATGACAGCATAAATCTAAGGTACTAGGATTTCTGTTGTTGCAATTGATCTTAGATAAAAACTGAATTTTTGTGTTGCATTAATATGTTCATTAACCATCCGTAAACAAACTAGTTGATCACAAACAAATTGGAAGAAAATTGGTTCAATAGAAAGTAATCTTCAAAACTCTGGTTATTAATGTAATCATGTAACAGCTTTGGGGTACGGAAACAATACAGCATGGACATTGTGATGCATAAATTTTCATTGTAGAAGCAAATTTTTTGTTAAAAATCTTGTTGTGTGAGATGTTCAAAGAAACACATATCATGGCACAGAAATATATATGATGCATATTGTTATATAACCCATCATTTCTTCACGGTGCTTATAAAATTCCATTTCATAGTTCTGAAGACATTACCTCTACCACAATGTCAATGATCAGAAATTCCATAAGTAGTGAGTCTATGCTCTGCTTGATTGATTCATAACATCTTCTTTTCTTAGATAGTAGATTCCTGAATATTTTTCTGCTAATTATTCTTTCCTTACAGGGACTGTTTGCGAGTCCTTGACCCTTTCCTTTGACAACTTTTGTTTGCAAATCTAAATGCCTTTTTTTAGTTTAAGACATTTTCATAAGAAAATAGGACGATGTGATCTATTCATGAGTTTCTGCAAGGTAGATTTTACCCCCTGATGTTTAGTTATACAATGACAACGCATTTACGCGTAAACACATATTTTCTTCCTTTACATCCCAGATTGTTTGTGGTTTTCCAGATTAGTCCCTGTCTTCCCTGAAAATTTGTTAGGCTTTGTTTAACACAAGGTCCTGAGGTTTTAGGATTATCAAGGAAGCTAATGTCTCATGTATATATGGCTATATACCATGGTCTACTCTGCTTGGAAGCCACGCTAGAAGTTTTAGAAGCCTATTTTCCACCCCATTGCTTGTGGGATTAATTGGTTCTTTCATCTTCCACCATTACTGGATGTGCAAGGTGTTACTGTAGTTTTTCCATTAATTTTCGTTGACTATTATATTTTTTATGTAGTTGAAAACTTTTTGTCTACTGCTCTTGTAATTGATCATCTCTTGAATTTTTGTCTTTCTTAAAATATGATCAATATTTTCCTAGAACCTGCAAGATTCTTTTCAATTATCGTGCTTGGCACATTTTTAATGGAGAAACATAAATACCAAAATGGATAAAGAGTTGAAATTGCTCTCATTTGATGCATAAACCAGATTTTATCTAAATTAGATAATTTCATTTTTTATTGGTAGCAAATATTATTCTGGTGATATCGTGTTCATATAAAAATTCAACCTTTTAACATGGATATGTTATATCTGACATTCAACAATATAAATCATCATTTTTTTCTTTTGATGAATATGTGTACGCATATATACTAGCATCATATGTCCAAATGTTGGTACCTTGGCTTTTTTTATTTAATACATTTCAACACAATATGTGAACCGTTCTTCTTTTGAAGAAATATCATTCACCAAGTTCCTTTATTTTTCGAGGGAAATGGAGAATTTCAATTTCTGTGTTTGGACAAATAGAGATTGAATATATGATACTTCTCGATTTCATCACTTGTTATTACCTTTTACCCCTCAATTACCAATAAAATAAATAATTTGTTTTATCCCCTATTTGGTACAAATTCAAAACTATTTTTTCTCCAAACTCATTATTATCCACACATTCTTCCAATAAAATAATTTTGTGTGTGGACTCATAAATTTTCCATACCTCTTATCCACGCATTCTCCGAAAAAATACCTTTTCACAAAATCCATTTTCAAAAAGAAAAAGTTTACCTCAAACATGCCCTTAAAATTTTTTCAACATATCAGGAATATGTGTATTTCAAATGTGACGGTTCAGGTCTTGGGCATAAATGTTAATACTAAGAGTTAGTATCTAGTTTCTTTGAGCTCGTTTCCAACTCGTATTCAACAGTTGCCTTTTGATGGTCCATGCATATTTTCAAACTAGAAATAGAAAGCCCCTTTTTGGTTTAGCTAAAAATAAGATTTAGTAGGTTTTCATAAAAGTTGAGTCCAATGAGATGTGTGGTTGAAAATGAACTTGAGAAAAAAATGATTTAAGAAAATTGGGTCCGGACAAGGGCAAAAATTAGAAATGTTAAACTACTTCTTGTTATTGCTTATGACTACACAATTTCGATGCATGATCATTATTTAGTGCTTGTTTGAGAGAGATTATTTGAAGTGAAAATGATTTTTTTTTATTTTTTTTGGGAGAATAGTGTAGTTAAAGAGTATGGAGAAGTTATGGGTGCAAAATTATTTTATTGGGAAAATGTATAGTTGAAAATGAGTTTGAGGAAAAATGATTTTTAGTAATCTGTGCCAAACAAATGCTTAGGAAAAATCTGCATCATTATTGTACTAGTATTCATTCTTTTTGTCATGATGTAATAATCATTGTTTCTGCTGTGTTCATACATCTGTTGCCCCCTATCACGTGCATTGTTTTTTGGTAGGGGATTGAGGGGAAGGTATTCTGGAACGAATACAAAGTATCATTTTTATGCTGACATTTTGTCTACATGCTCATCGTAAATTTCATCTATCCACATTTCTTTGCCTCAAATTTATCATTTCTTTTTGGGTGTTTCAGGGGGCTATATGGGTTCTAGAACTGGAAAAGGTTCCAAAACCCGGGCTTTTGGACAAGGAGCAAAAGCGGAAAAAGGACTTTTTGGAGGTCATTCCTGTCCAGAAATATGCAAAAATTAAGGATCACTGTCTTATCCTAACTGAGACGGATGGTTCCCGAGTAGATATTTCACTCGAGGGATGCACAATAGCAGCTGTATCAGCAACAAGCTCATCCTCAAGAAAATGGTGATTTGACATTTTAGAAAGTCTTTTAGGAGTAGAAATTTCAGTTAACTTAGAATCAAGTACTTTTATTTATGCGCTATTTCGTGTACTCCTGACGGAACTTTTTAAGTTATGATTTTCCTGGTCAAGGTTAACTGTTCAATGATGGATTTTCAAATCCATTGAATCAAATCATATACTTCAGTGAATATGCTGCTTGAGGCTTACATTTGAGAAAGAGAGTCTATTCTAACTAAGTCAAGTAGCAAAGTTCTTGTTCTGATAGGTTCATGCTGGCTTGATTAACTCTATTAAATATTAAATGGCCCTTAGCAGCCTTTTCAATCTTTTATTGGGTTTTAATTCTGACAGGGTACATCTTTTTAGGTTGACCAGAATTTTTTTCCCTGCAGTATATTGCATGCCATTGGTTCACAGTGTAATATTTCTCCATGACTACAGTATTATTTTCCTGGAAGAACGGTAACGTATGAATTTTTTTTTTCTTTTTCTTATAATAGGGCAAAAAGATATCCCATTAAAGTGGAAAGCAAAGATTCAGTAATATATAGGGGAAGTAAAATAATTTACATTTATCTTGAGACGTCTTGGGAGAAGGAGTCCTGGTGTAAAGCTCTCCGCCTTGCTTCCTGCGATGAAGAAAAGCTTAAGTGGTTCACCAAGTTGAAAATAGAGTTTCACAATTACCTGACATCATTGAATACCAGATATCCTTCTTTTATGAAACCCGCTGGGGTTTTCAGCGCTGAACCACTTGATAAGCCTATTAAGTTTGATGGTTCATCGAAGGTTCGTCAGTTCCTCAAGAAAATTGCAAAGAAGGCTTCTAAAAGTGGAGTAGAATATATAGCGAGTGGAACTTCAACTTCAGGCCGTGATGAAAGAAAGTTGAGTGAGAAGTCTTGTTCATTCCAAGACTCAGTTCTGGCTCCTGGCCTAGTGAAATTGGTCCCAACAGGAAAGCCTTCTAGTGTTTCTTCTGATGATACACTATCAACATCTAATACTACTGAGCCAGGAAGCAGAGTTCATATTTCTGGAATAAATGATGTGGAATCTGATCACAGGAATTCTAGCGACGAAGGAACACTTTGTTTGAATTTGTTAATATCACGATTGTTCTTTGATGTCAAAAGAAATTTGCAGATTAGGAACTCCATCCAAAACCGGATTCAGGTTTGTCGTATCTATTTAAACCACAGTGATATATTAATGAAGTAATTTCTTTTACATGTGAATGCACAAAATTTTTGGCATGTTATATATGTTTTTCTCTCATAAGTGATATATAAATAATCACTCAATTAAAATTAAGAATTATATAATTCTTGAGTTTTCTATTTATAACTATATGTTCTTGTTTTCGTCAAATTAATTAATCGTAGACTAACTACATTATTCATAATCAAAAAATCTTTTCGGAAACTGTGTCGACTATAAATGTTGCAAGAGATTTGATGAATAGAAAAATTTCCCTTGTTCCATTCAAACCATTTAATATAACATTGTCATTAAGTTGTAATTTTTGATCTCCAACCTATTGACTGAGTTGTAAGTTGGTTGCCAACCTTCAAATAGGAGCAAGATGGTCCTCAATCTTTCAACATAGGTGCACAGTTAGCCCTCGTGAACAATATCTGCCAAATTTTCTCTTAAAATAACATCTGACTTTCACATGTCTATGTGTTCTAGGGGCAAAAATGTATAAACACATAATTCTAATTAAAAGAAAAGCGAATAAAAGAGAGAGAGAAAAGCAAACACAGATAGTGCAAAATAACAGTTTGGTGTCATTTCAAGAGTGCGGCACCCAGGTGCTTAGCCCTGCTTGGTTTTGAATTGGTCCATAGATGTTACTGAAGCCCAGTGAAGGTGCATACTGATTGTCCTGACCGACCTAGTTCATTGAGTTCCATTCATGCTCAATGTTTGCAATATCAAATACCCGTTTCATAGTTGAGTCAACCTGGAGGTTTTTTTGCTCAATTTTCATACCAATGCTTTTCAGGTAAAGAGTATTTTCTATTCATTTGAATTATCATTTAGGTATCTGACCATTGAGGGTCTTTTTATGCAGATTGTTATTGGTATTGCAATGCATAAAATCCTATGGTAATTTTGATGTACATATCAGCTTTCTCTGTAAATCTAAGTCAACTAAAAGGCATGTCAATGTAATAATGTAATGTCTGCAAAAGTAAAATATTTTCTCTATTTTTTCAACATACTGCTGAGACAGAAGTGTATTAAAAGGTTCCTTTAATAAATGTTTTGCATTATTATTATTATTATTTTTGTCATTCTTACAATGTGTTGTATAGAAAATCTACCACAAATGGCTCTCATGAAGTGACATAGTAATGCAGTATACCGGAAGATGTTGTGTGGGTATATTGTTGTTTGTTGCACAACTAACCCGTACATCCTGCACTGTAATAGAGAGCACTATCCAACATGCGATGTCCCAATTACCTCGGTGAAGTCACATGTACTTCTGTAGATCCTGGTACTCTGCCTCCGCATATTCTTGCAATGAGGGTCCTTCCCTCAGATACGAATGAGCTTTGGACCTTGGAAGTTGATATAGAGTATTCTGGTGGCATGGTTTTTGAAATTGAAACAAGGCTTGAAATTCGAGAGCTTGAACTTGAAGGAGAGCAAACTAGTTCGAATTTAAGCGATGTTGGTGAGGTCACCTCTGATCTACTGGAAGGTATTGAATATTATGGGAAACAATTGAAGCTTTCTGAAGAGACAAATGATGAAGTAGAGGAAAAAGATGAAGGAGATCCCATCCTAGGTATGTAATAGAACCATTAATTAATTCCTTATTAAAATTTACTCAATCTAGTTGCGTTTGATGTGCTCTACAACTATAGCCTTGATATATGAGCTTTTTTGGGACTGAACTAGTATTTGCTCTAAATTTTGATGAAATCAATATATCTGTTAAATAAAACATTAGATATGATGTGTGAATAGTTGTGCAGTAGCTTAGCGTTTATACATTACTTTAGGTACCTGAATCTCCAGCCCTTCCAGTTAGTCACACTTATTTGTAATGCAAGTTTTGTATAGATTTTTGAAGGTTCTGCTTGAATGATGGTTTGGCATTACAATGATGGATAAATGGGAAAAATAGTTGATCGTTTTGGAACTGATGTTTATTGTGGTTGACTTGGAACCAAACAGAAATAGATTTATAGTTCACCTGAGGCAACATGACTTGAAATTTCCCATGGCAGACAGATTCAAATTTGATCAATTTGAATAGTTTCCTTATTGGATATTTACAGGTTTCAAAACCATACTTGATGAACTCTCTCAAATAGAAATACAAATCTAATTGAAATGGACACAAAAACAATAAAATGTCACTTGCATGGTTGCACAATATATAATAGCAATAAATAATAGTTCTAGTCGAACTCATAGTTGCGTTTAGTTCACCAGGGATATGGCGAATCCTAGAATTTCTTTTAGAAGTATAATGGAGTACTGTAACAATTCTTTTTTAGCTTTGTCCATTTGACTAGCATTATGTTACTTAATGGCATAGAAAAGTTTCCAACCAAAGCATTAACGTGCTGGTCTATCAAGTAGCTTGAGTATTTTTCTTGGTTCTTTATTTTATCTCTTGTTGTTCAATATATATATATATATATATATCTTCCTAATAGGATGTTTTTTGAATTATGTTTGGATGCATTTCCTTAAAAAGATGGTAATAAAACAGTTGTTCTTGGAGGAAAAACATACTTTATTATTTTAGGGTCTCGGTGTTTGATATTTGCTTTTAAATGTCTAGTTGGTGCAAATATTTCATAAAAATTCCATTACCCATGCATGTGAAGCTATCAGTGTAAAGTCCAAGAGCCATGTAGTAATGCAGCCCATATAAAGTAATCTAGTGTGTATTTATAGTGCTGCATGTTCGGATTTCACTTCGCCCTCTCTGTAAATTGAAATCAATCACAAATTGATGTTTGAACCATTTATTGGTTTGAAAACTTGGTTCTCTAGAGAAGCTATGACTAGTGAGAAACAATATGTGTTTGGAGTTTGGACCCAGATTATCTTTGATAAAACCAGTGGCAATGGAAGTTAATATTCCAAAGATTTGATTAAGGAGGGTAGTTCCTTTAGCATGAAATTAGAAGTTAAACCAGAATCTTTTCTTGACACCGAAATGAACTATTCCTCTTTCAAGCTAATTACGCTCACTCCCTCATCACTGTATTGGAAATAGGGCAGGATCTGAATTTTGAGGCACAAAATCTTCCTTTAAATTCTCTGGTAGAATAGCGACTAATTTAGAAACTATTTAACTCTGAATGAGTCAATTGTATATGCTTGCTTAGGTATGTGCTTGATCCAGAATTCCAATCTCCTGTTCTAAACGTGAGTTTTGGTCAAGTATCCAATGCACGTGCTTAAATGCAGTTGTAAAATTCCATCTTTCTCAGCTTTCCATAAATTTCTAAGTTTATGTGTGAGAAAGAGTGATTGCTTGTATGATGTTATGGAAAGAGTGATTGCTTGTATGATGCTCGCTTGCATTTCTGTTGGAGATAAAGGAAGTAGGTAGTAGATAGCATATGACCTCACTACTTCTTAAACTCTTCATTTACTAAGATGGCATCCCTTTGTGGTGGGGGTGTAAGCGGTCCGGTTGTACCGGTTTTTGATAGGTTTTCAAACTAAACTGTTTAAGCCGGTTTAAGAAAAATTCAAACTTAAACCAAACCATTTTGAATGGTTTGAAAAAAACTCAAACCTAAATCTAACGGTAATGGTTTGAAAAAAACTCAAACCTAAATCTAACTGTTTGGTCCGGTTTTAAACTGTCGGTTTCGCCATATATTTTTTTGCCCGTCTATTTTTATGTATTAATTCATTGAATTCAATATATATTTATATCTTACTAGCAATAAATCTAAAACAAACTAAACCACTGTTTGAATTTGGACCGTTATCCCACAAGTTCAGTCGCCTTTGTTGACCTGCTGTTTCATGTGTGGGACCCAGCCTCCTCTCCAATGGTCAATTTTCTCATTATGATGATATGGAAAATATGGCTCAAACAGGGGCTAAATAGACCTACTATAAATTTAAATATCAATTAAATGAAAGTGAAAGCACAATAAACTAAAACATATATATATATATATATATTTTTTACCTTTTTAGGCTAATGACGATACAATAACGTTACAATACAAGTCTACTAAACTAGATATAAGGCCCAACAAATATAATGATGTCCATCAAGACCTCGTGACCATCATATTGGAAAAAAAGGATACTGATTAAACAAAAAGAATAACCAACCACAATAATAAAGCAATTATTTATAATATCTAAACATAACAATTACATAAGTTTACGTTTGAATGAAGTTATGGAATGCATTTAATTTCAAATTCTTACCTTAGTTTGCTCCAAAAAAATTATTGATCTGAAATTTTATTCGTAGCAAATATTATCACCGAAGGTCTATGATCTATTTGTCTCCAATTTGGTATAATGGATTTTAATTCAACTTTAAAGTGGCGTAAAAAATCTGAAAAAGAAGTGTGTGGTGCAGGTGGCTCGAGACTGTGTTGGGTATCGGCTGGAGTTCATCTAAATTTTGAAGAGGAAAAAGGCATTTGATAGATTTTGTTAGTCTTGAGATTATTATATATAAATTAAGATTATTGGATAATAATAATAATATATTTGTATTAAAAAATTAGAAATTGACAAAAATACCCACAAATGACAAAACTATTGAATTTTATATATTTGGATGAATTTTCAAAAAATTTCGTTTTTTCATTTTTTTTTATATATTTTTTCGTCCGTCCGGTTTGGTTTTAAACCACAATTAAAATTCTTAAACCTAAACCAAACCGTTTTGACCGATTTGGTTTGGTTCAAAACCATTTCGTTAACCGGGTCCACGTGGCACCAAACCAACGGTTTCTAAAATTCGGTTTTGGTTCGATTTTCCGGTTTGACGGTTCTTGCTTACAGCTCTACTCTGTGGTGAATTCTTTTCTCATTTGAAGGAAAAAGACAGATCAGCCTCCATATTGCTGACTGTTGCATAGAATTGTTCTGAAATTCTAGTTGGTATAGTAAACATAGGCATGTTTTTAGGAAGAGAGAGAGAAAGGGATGGTGGCAAAGGAATGAGCGATTGGACGACTCACATATTTTTTGATGAAGGGGATGAACTAGAGAGAAGAAAGTGTGAATCATGGTTGGCTCTTTATTTCAACCAAATGTTTTTTCCTAATCTGATTGTAAAGGAGAATATTAAACTTTTTAGGATGTCGGATTTCATACTCTGTTAATGACCTAGTCCCAACGAGCTTCAATTAACAAATGAGTCGAACTCTATTCCATCAATGTTAGTTCATTTATGAATCAAGCTGGATAGAGTGCAAAAGAAGCCCAGCTTTACTGCATCCAAAATTGGAGAAATTGCAGATTGATATCTTGGATTTAGGGGTTAGTTCTAAAAAACTTACCTGTTTGATTAATCTCAGTTGCCCCATATATGCATTAGGGTTTGAAGTCATGTATATTAAAACATTGCACCCTGAATTAAGAAATCTGTATCTATTCATCTAAAGTTGACATGAAGTGATTAGAAAATCTGTGATTTGTGATGGCAGTTGGTACAGATAGCAAACTCTATTTTTCTTTATCAATACATTCATAATTCATAAAATATTTTTTATTTTATTATTATTATCATTTTTTTTTTAAATTCTTTGTCTATTGAATTAAAAGTGAACTCCAGCCATATATATCCCTTTGTAGATTGAGGTTTCATGCGAAGTTTCTAAAATGTGATTTCGAACACAATGAAATATATATTCCCTCCGTGCTATAAAGATAAGCTTGCTTTCTATTTTCGTATGTCCCAAATTACATTTTCTTAATCTGTGTGAAAATGGAGCTATCCTATCTTCGTGAGACGGAGTATTATATTGTATGAATATTGGCGTATCAAAGACGTTATTTCAAATCCATCACACCTCTCTTGATATTTGGAAGTTCAGAGGACATCTCTTTGTCAAACTTGAGGCTACTTTTCTTTATACAATAATTTAAGCCAAAATTCCCTGCATCTTTACTTAAGAAGAACTAATACATGTGAATGGATACTACATGACACCAACCAATTTTCCAAAACCTAGGACACGACATGACGTTGAATCTTACTCGTATCCATAGAATCAAGATAATAGCATTATTTTCATATTAAGAATCAATATATATACATCTTTAAGATAAAAAATTTAAGCATTAAAGTCTAAACTAAACATAGCATGATAAGAAAAATTCAGTTGTGTTGGATAATCAAGATTTACATATGACTTTCAACAGTTTGTCAAAGATACATTATCATGAAACTAAATATCTAAACTCATTTTAGCTTGGCAAAATAAGCTGACTTTATTTCCATAAGCTTCATGTTTAAAGCATACCCATCTCACCAGTCACCATATACCAAAAATGAAAAAGAAATAAATTGGCTTTATTACCTAATGTTATCATCATCAGATGCTGCTTTAATTGAACGGGAAATGATTTCCTGTGCCAACCAAGAACATCGTCTGCCACTAGACTCAATTTCAACTGCCTCGTCATCACTAACTTCAACTTCATTTACACTATCATCTCTGAAAAGCACACCTGGAGGGATGGTTCATTCGTGATCTCAATATCTCCTACATCTTTAAATGAACCAATAGCTTCTCCACAAATATTCCTCCTCTTACTTTGGTCTTCCTTGTATCAAGGAGCTGCTCTTGATATAACACTAAGGTATCTGAAAATGAAAACCAAACCAATTCCTCAGCATCTTAATGAAGTAGTGTAAATGTTCATTAATAAAATTTGCAGTAAAATAATTAGAAACAAAAGGAGACACCTGTGGAAGCATGTTGGAAATGTCTCAGAAGTGAGAAAGTCTCACAACTGTGTCCGTGTGTGTTGGCACATCAGAAAGTTATAAAAGAAATGGCTACAAATAGCGGACAAGTGTCCAACCCTAATATGTCAGGCCTGAGAAAGTTTTAGTGCTTCATAAATCTTACTATTCTGTTTAATTTTGTTTGATTCAGAAAATAAAATACTGCTGTTGCTATCAGCCTAAAAAAAGTTTCCTACTTTCCTATGTATATCTACTGTGATTAGATCCACTGACTTGATTCTAATGTTTCATTTTATTCTGATTTCTGTATACACCAGAAACTTGTGTTTCATCCAAAGATGATATATCAATCTCCCTTATAATGTGGTACCATAATCTCAACTCTAACTTTGCAGATGAGATTAGAAACTCCAAAAGCACTACACATGCATCATCTCAAGTGTCTAGATGGAAGTCTATAGTACGTTCTATAACCAACCAGGTTCAACAGGTTTGTAACTTCATTCTTACTTGATTAGCTATTTTGATTGTGGCATATTCAGTTTACAAGACTAGGATTATCATCCAGAAGTTTGCTATTGAGGTCATTCTCACGAAGTACCTAGTCAGCATCTTTGTTTATTTTTCTACTTTAAATGTTAATGTTTTTTGATTTTATGTTATTCTGAAGGTGCTTTAATAATCAGCTGGGAATCTCACCAGTTTCTTCTGCACTGGCATGTAATTTTACAAGTAAAAACCGCTTCAATTTTATTTTCCGAATGAATCCGTTCTGATTTTAGGGTCTCATCTAAATCACCCTCTTCCCCTAATTTGTCCAACTCTTCAATCTAACCAAAATTCTGTCTTTTCCTATTCTTAGATCCCCTGAAGGCTTGTTTGTCAAAGATTTTTTTAAAATTATCTTTCCCCAAAATCATTTTCAACCACATATTCTATGGGACCAATAACTTTTCCTCTCTTTAACCACAAATTCTCCAAAAAAAATCATTTTTCCCTTGGAAAAATCTGTGCCAAACAAGCTTTAAGACTTGTCCCAATCTCAAATTTATTTTTCAGTATCTTCGGTTTCTCCATAAATTTAAAACCTTCCCATCCGTCTTTAACTTCCTCACATCACCATTTTGGAAATTCCTATCTAAACTTCTATGACTTAACCACATATTTTCAAATCTAAACTGGATAGGGCCCTATTTTGATGGGTAGGTACCTCAGCTGTCACATTTTTAGATAGACGTGAAGAAAGAGAAAAATAGAAAATTGGATCTGAAAATCTTGTTTTATGTGTGGGTTAGTTATGAAATATTATATGTAGTTTGGAATTAGATAAGAATATTTTGGATTTGTGGAAGTCAAAACAGCTAAAAACTTGTAAGTTTAACTTCAAATCAAACCACTATGCATGTTTGGATTACCTATGGGTGGGGTTGAAATGCGAAAGTTGAACACTTATCTCTGCACTAAATTTCATATTTAAAACAAGTGGGAATTGTAACCAAGAATATGTGTTTGTGCACATAGCTGAGAATGGGAAGGAGGTGATAGGAGTTGAGAGAGAGATTGATAGATGATAGTATATCATAAGATACTTTAGTCTCTGAGTTTCCTAGAACTCCATACATGCAGTAATCGTAGTAAATATGCAGCTTGTTTTTAGGAGCAGTTAAAGCGGAGGATATTGTTGAAATGCTTATCTTTCTTCTAACCTAGTTAATATTTAATTTTTGAAGGTTCCTATCTCATTAGGGGTGAGGGTTTCTTCTCTTCGTGGGACAATGCGGATCTACGTGAAGGCTCCACCTTCTGATCGGATATGGTTTGGGTTCACATCCATGCCCAATATTGAATTTAACTTGGAGTCTTTTGTTGGGGACCACAAAATTACAAGTGGACGTGTTGCTTTGTTCTTGATCAGTAGATTCAAGGTGAGATCATTTATTCATGACAGGTACACATTTTCAACATTTAAGCTATTTGTTGTTATGAAAGTGTCCAGCAGTTGATGTAGCATTGGTTCATTTACTGGATTCTTCTTTGAAAAAGAACCTGGTTGGTTCAGACTTAGATATGGATGTGTATTTCAGTAAACAGTTCACAAACTTGTTAGGAGCCTAAGCTGACGTGGCTGTAATATTATTATGAAGCTTGACTTGGAAGTACTCAAAGTTTGTGGTCATTGAAACTAAAATTTTTCTTGCAGGCAGCAATTCGTGAAACTTTGGTACTTCCAAATTGTGAAAGTGCTTGCATTCCTTGGATGTTAGCAGAGAAGGATGACTGGGTCCCAAGGAAACTCGCTCCATTTATGTGGTATAATCAAGATAATGCTGGTGGCTCGACCACAAAACAAGAAGCACCCAGTTTCAAACCTGGGGATGAGAAATCAGTGAGTGTTGACCGTGCTACAGAATTAACAAGTCAATCATTGGACCCAAGACACATAGATTCATCAACTTTGAATAACCACTCTTCCCAAGAACAACTCAGAGCCCCTTTGTTAGACAAGGACACTCCACAAGACATTGTGCCGATAAGTACAGAGGGCAAAAAAGATATTCACCCGCTGCCATCTCAATCGCTTATCTTGGTAGAGGGACAGAATGATACTTCAGATGAAGATGATTCTAGTAAACCTAGAAGAATTGGGACCAGAGAACGAATGCTTGGGTTGGGGAAGAAGATGGGAGAAAAGCTTGAAGTCAAGAGGCGTCACATTGAAGAGAAAGGAAGAAGTTTTGTTGACAAGATGAGGGGAACGTAGAAAATGAATGGTTTCACCGGGTTTCAATTTTTATTTTTTTTTGGGTGACAAGGTTTTATAATCTCTAGAGTTTATACTTTGACACTTTCGTAAATTGTGTAATAACAGGAAAGAAGTGATGAATCTTCAAATTACCTTACATATTAGACATTATCAAGTTGAATATTCGGTCATTGTCTTCCTTAATCTAGAAACCATAGAATTTTTTGTTAGAGAAGTGCTACATGTACATAATTGTTTACATAATGGTGTCCATAATTATACGTGGCACTGGATCCAACCTTTAATTCAAATCATACACTTGCACATCAGCAATCGGATGATTGCCACATCACATTATGGACACCATTATATGCAATAATTATGTACGAGTAGAATTTTTCTTTTTGTTATATTCCTGTCTCTAAATCTACTTCCTTCTGTACACGAACGATTTGTTTTGTATACAGATTTGAGTACGTCTCTGAATAGTGATGCTCCCTGTCTCGGGTTGGGGACAGAGTTAAAAACAGGCCCTATTGGAGAGGTGTCAGCCACCCAACAGGGTTAAAAACAGGGGCGCCACATTGGAGGGGCGCCTGCCCTTGCCGACACCTCTCCAATCGGGCCTGTTTTTAACCCTGTCCTCTGAAAAATGTAGTGGTTGAGAACAAGAGGAAATTGCACCATCTACCTATTATCTAATACATATTTTAAAATTACTTTTTAACATATGAATATTCAGTATTTATTGCAATAATGAAGTAAAAATGAAATGTAAATATTACCCGTCTCCCAAAGGAATTAATTATGGTAACTGATTTTACTCCACTAAACATGCCATATCCCTATTTCTATGTTTAAATGTAACCCATCAAACCGTCCTTTCCATATGTATATGTGTGTGCTCCTCCTCTTCCTTTAATAATAGTAGGTCCTTGGTACGAAGGGGTCGTTCAAAAATCCCCAATCTTGGTTCTTTCATAGTATCTCAATATCGATTCCAACATGATTCCTGATTGATCAAAATCACAAAACCATCCCAAAGATTTTCGATTACAAATTTAGCGCAATCTGTAACGCATATTTTTATTTCAAAATCCATTTCAGGATCTTTGTTTTGGCATGAATAGGGCTAAATCTTTCATATAAACACTAATCGGAGCTATCATCACTACAAGCCGCCACTGAAATTAGGGAAAAACTATTTTAGTACAATTTCTAAGCTCAATATTTACTGTGATTATGGCTTCGCTAAAATTATATACTACAAGGGCACGGGTGTGTTCAAGCAATAAAGTGGACTTATGAGTCCGAGTATCGATCCCTCGAGGAGAATTTTTTTTTTTATTATACAATTGTTGACTCAATTTTAACAATTGAAAACACACAGTAAGATTTTATATGTGGAAAGGAAATGAAAATGAATTTGAAGATCAATTAAAATAACAATTATGAAAGAGGAGGAAATTTGACTTATAAAGGAGTTGGAATTTACGATGTCACTTAAACGTCGTTTCTTTAACATCGCAACAATCCGAAAATGCAAATTACATCATTACATTGTTAGACTCGATTTTTCAAATTTAGTTAATTATCTCTCTTGAGCGAAATTAACCCTAATCGATTGGTTTTACCTACTATATCTCTATATTGATAAAAATCCAACCAATTGCATTAAATAACTCAATGGATCACCTAGGGTTTTGGAATATATCTCTATCTCCTAAAACAGCCTAGGGCATTAATTATTTTGGTTAGGAATGCACAACAATTTCTCAATAGTTGCACTAACCACTTAATTCAATCATATATTGACAGCATACATGACGAAAATTTAAGCACAATAATAAATGCACAATAACATAGTAATTAAAGCATTAAATGATGAATATTGACATTAAAGAAATTTAGGTCAAGTTACATTATAAATTCCAACATTAAACACTTAGCCCATAGTAAAATAGAAGCACAAAAAGGAAATAAAGAGAGAATCCATCACAAAATGGAGATAATAGAAAAATACAAGATAGTGGAAGAAGATCGTCCCTTGAATATATTCTTGAAGAAGAAAAATTCTACATGTACATAATTATTGTACATAATGGTGTTCATAATATGATGTGGCAATCATCCGTTCGTTGATGTGCAAGTATGAGATTTGAATTAAAGGCTCGATCTAGTGCCACGTATAATTATGGACACCATTATGTAAACAATTATGTATATATAACACTTTCCCCCTGAAGAAATAAGAGACTGAAATCTTGAATATTCCTTGAAACTTCCAAATTTTGCTAGATATTCTTCCTTCTTCTCTCCTTGAGTGCTTTTCTAAGTGCTCTCCTATGGGTGTTGTCCTAGATATGACCAACAAATCGGTATTTAAATGATCGAAAATTGTCTCAAGTGAAATTGTAGAGGAGATCTCGAAATTTGCGTGAAAAAGGCAAAATTCGGCTAGTCGAAAAGCGGCGCACGCACACCGTTATATGCTTTTGGCCTCGAGAGATCACAAAGAGTCTCCTTCGCGCGTGCCATAGTCAGCCTGTGCGCGAGCGCAGGCTTTCTTTATTTCTTTTTCCAACTTAGTCATTCAATTTAATTGCACACAAAGCCCTCAACTTGGATCATGTACAAATTGGTCTTCAAAATTTGATTTTCATATCACTTTTCCCCTCCAAAATTGTAGCCATAGGTCCCTAAACTTTCAGCACTTGTACACTTTGGTCTCAAAGTCCCTTTTTTTTTTGCATTTTTAGTCCTCTATTCCTTCCTTTAGCTCTTATCTCCTCCAATATGGATTTTGGCTTACAAACATCATAATTACACAATCACGAATAGCAATCCGCTCAATTTATTAATAATTAGCTCGTTAAAGTACCTAATAATCATGTAAAAACACACTTATCAGGCGTCCACGAGATAGGAAGTTGAATGGCGTTGTGTTTCCCTAGTGTAGTTCAAACAGTTTAATGGTTTTTTGAATGGCGTAGTGTTTCCCATTTATATAGGTTGATTTTCCTTATTTTCTTGTCTCAATTATATAGTTTTTTTTTTTTTTATTGAGAATGTTTTGTTTTTATTCGTTTACTAATATACCCTTACTTAATTTGTCTAATTATAACGAATCATTCAATTTCTTTACTACCATCAACAATAATTTGTTACTGGCTGTTGATAATTGAATAAGGGTAAATGAAGAAAGTTTTTGACAAAAACTACTCTTTCAATAACATTAAATAAGATTTCTTAATCCGTGTGAAAAACAAAATTAGTCTATATAAATGGGACAGAAAGAGTAGTTAGGTGGACGTATTGGGTCTATATTTTCTGGGTTTTATTATCTGATAATGTTTTTGATACATCCAAAAAAATCCTATGTACTTGTTAACGCAATGCAATGGCCGTATCTTGCTTTTTGATGCCTCTTCCATATATGTATATATGAATGGAACTTTTGCTACTCTGGCTATTGTCTAATGTAAACCTCCGAGTAAATCTTTTTCAGAAACTGGCAATGCTATGAATTTGTGCGGAGTATTCGATTTTTGAAGTTGGGTGAGTCTTCACATTGCAAAAGTCATACATCAAGGGAATTACAACTACTTTAGATTTAGGAGGTTGCCTCAGTATGTTAGAAGTTTTCATACACTTTATCAAAGACCTCCTTGCATATTAGGTTTTCAGACATGTCTTTGATTGAAAGCTTGATCCAACTTAGGATTATATTCTGGCATATTTGATTGCGGCTCTGTGGGAATTTCAGGTTGACAGCTTGATTATTTTCCTTTTCAAATTCCACCCTACTTTCATTGTAAAATGCTTCAGTTGGCAAAAATTCTGGATGGGAATTCTTTATTTTCTTCACATTCCAGTAAATTATCAGACTTTGAAGTCGCTTCAATTACATAAAAAAACATATATTAAATTTGGAAATACATGGATTTTAGTAACAAATAAATATTACCAATTCATAATCACACACATTATGAACTTGTATGTGTGAATCTGCTTCAGACGAAACAAGACATAAAATACCCAATAATCCCAAAAATTGATTCAAAATGACTACTCAACAGAAAAAGCAAAAGATGAAATCGATTAGATAGATAATGGGGAAGAGAAATCCGTGTATGAATTCCAACATCGATGATGCTACATAGGTTACACATTAAATTTGATTTTTACTTGGGGAAAGAACATTGAATGTAAAGTGTAATGTCGAGATATTTAAAAATCATCAGTTACAAAAATAGAAAATGGATATATTTGTAGAAGGTAGTAGATTTAGTTAACATTTGCTTATTTCGCAGTATTTTAAATATGCGAATAGTAAGCACGTACGTTACACGTCTTATGTATCAGATGAATGATATGCATAATATTTTTTAAGTACTAACAATGTTTTTGAAAGTAGTTGATGTAATTGATATTGCTAAAGAAAAAATTAAAATTGTTAAAAATAATATATATGAATAATATTTTTTTATGAAATTATGTATATAATGTGAAAAGTTAAAAAAAAAAAAATTGAAATGTAATATTTTTATTAGAGTGACATTTCTTTGTATACAATATTTTTTGTCAATGTCCTGCAACTTCTTTTCTTTTTATTTTTTGTTTTGAGCCTTTTACCAAGACTTTTGTTGCTTGCATTGAAAATCCACAAAAAGTGCGAGATATAGTTGTTCATGAGATAATACATGTTTAGAAATTTATATTCCAATAGTAGACATTGTTTGTCCTTGAGTATTGTTAGTGGTAATCACAAGCATAGATGTATTCGAAATTATTTTCTTTTGACTTTGAATGGATAGCCTTCATTATTTGTTGGAGTTAATGTGATACGAAGAAGTAAAACTTATTTACCAACATGTTGTCCAATGTTTATTTTTAAATGGATAATATGTTGTTTAAAATCACGACAAATCATTCTTGTTCAATTGTAAAAGATCATTGGATGTGTATATATTCTTTAAGGGCATCACTGTACGATTTCTTTTCAATATAATTTATGTGGTAGGATATCGACAACAATGTATTTAGGAACTCCTTTTGATAAAATTGACTTGTATTTAGATTCCATACAAAAGATAAAAAATGAGAATCAAATATGAAATGAAATTACAAAAAACAAAAAAGAACATACCTCGAGAATGAAGAACTAAAATTATCAAATTATCAAATATTG